AAAAAAAAAAAAAAAGGCCAGGCACGGTGGCTCACCCCTGTAATCCCTGTAACTTTGGGAGCTGGAGGTGGGTGGATCACCTAGGAGTTCCAGATCAACCTGGCCAGCATAGTGAAAGCCCATCTCTACTAAAAATACCAAAAAAGGCCGGGCGCGGTGGCTCAAGCCTGTAATCCCAGCACTTTGGGAGGCCGAGGCGGGTGGATCACAAGGTCAAGAGATCGAGACCATCCTGGTCAACATGGTGAAACCCCGTCTCTACTAAAACTACAAAAAATTAGTTGGGCCTGGTGGCGTGTGCCTGTAGTCCCAGCTACTCAGGAGGCTGAGGCAGGAGAATTGCCTGAACCCAGGAGGCGGAGGTTGCGGTGAGCCGAGATCGCGCCATTGCACTCCAGCCTGGGTAACAAGAGCGAAACTTCGTCTCAAAAAAAAAAATCCCAAAAAAAAAAAAAAAATTAGCCAGGCATGGTGGCAGGCACCTGTAATCCCAGCTACTGGGGAGGCTGAGGCAGGAGAATCACTTGAACCTGAGAATCAGGTTGCAGTGAGCCGAGATCGCACGATTGCACTCCAGCCTGGTCAACAAGGGCAAAACTCTGTATCAAAATAAAAGGGTGAGGGGGAAGCTTTAGAGGAAGAAATCCTAGTCTTGGGTCCTCAATATCATATCTTCCCAGAACCCTGCCTTGGGAGCAAAACTTTTTGAGCAATTCCAGCTCTAACATCTCAATATCAAACACAAGGCTGTGCATATTAGAACACAGCCTTGTCCGTATGAAACACAAGGCTGTGCTTTTTCAGTTGGAACCTTCATTCTGGATCTAACATCCAACTTCCCCTTCGATCACCATTTGACTGCACGCTGCAATGTGGTTATAAGGTGAAATGACTGAGGCAATGAGAGAAATCCCAGTACAACAAACTCCAAGAAACCACGTTAACTTAAAATTGGCCCCAGGGGTTGGCGAGGCTGCATGCCACTGTGTATTATACATTATGAAAGCAACAGAGGCCATGCTTTAGACAGAAGGTCTCGGAGTCTTCCATAGACACAGATCAAGACACCCGGGGATCTTGTCCGCGTATTCCTGAGCTCCAGAACTGCAGCAATCAAACTCTACAAAAGCTGCACCGGGCCAGTTTTGATCACAGTCTCCAGTGGGTCACAACAGCACTGCCACAGGATCACTGGTCACAGCATGACACATTCACAGTCACCGTTCAGCTCCGTCACACTCACGGCCCCGCCCCCACTCGGTCGGGCGGGCCCAATCGGGGACTGTCCAGGGCCTCCCCCGTGTGCAAACACCCCTGGCCCGTCACAGGCGCGCCCACTCACAATCACACCACACACGAACGCAGCTACAGAACCGCACACACAAACACAATCACACACTCCTCCTCCCCAGCAGGTGACCTGCACACAGCCCTAGGGCTTCTGCCTCCACAAGCCCCATCCGCGTCCCAGGAACCCGGGTCCCCTGCCGTGAGCTCCTCTCGCATCCAGACCGGGTCACCTCAACTCACCACACGGAAAACGACTGCCAGGTCAACGGAAAAGGGAGCCGGGTCCTCGGAGAAGTGTAGTCTCAACCGGAATAGTGCCGCCGTGGGTGCAAACGGCGGGGAGCGCAGTGGCAGGCACCGCTCGGCGCTTAACTGCCCGCCCCGAAGACTCCTGGGAACTCAGGCCCACGCGCGAGTGCGCAGGCGCAGACGACTAACCCTGGGCCGGGGGTGAGGCTCGGTGGGTGCCAGGGGTGCTGAGGAGGCCGAGGAGGGCACTAGGAGCTCCGATCCGGAAGAGCCGTCTGAGGACGCGGAACCAGGTGGGGAGGCCAGGGAGGTAACCAAGAGTCCGAGCTGGACCCGGTAATTCTGAGGAGGGAAGCGGGACCGCGGTATCCAGACGCTGCGATCTGTACTAGCCGGGCCTCGGGCGTGGTCCGTGGGCGTGACCTTGAGGGTGACCCAGAGCGAGCTCCGCTAAGGGGGATTTTGCGCATTCTGACCCCGCGGAAGCGCCGTCGCTGGCGGCGGGTTCCCGCGCAGAGCGGGCGCTGCGTGTGCGCGCGCGCGCGCCGAATGGGGGTGGCCTGCGGCGCCCAACCTGCTGCATTTTAGGTGTTTGCCTCTTTGGGATGTTGCGGCCGATTGCGTGTGAAAAGTGGACGGAGTCGTGTTGCTGCGCAAGGTTTCCTCTGCATGTGTCTATTTTTAGATTAGGTGTGAGTCGCATTTGAGACTGTCTGTTCGTGTGGAGAATTGAAAGTGATTTGTGAATGTGATTGTGACTTTGCCTAGAATCGTGTTAGCTGCTGTCTGAGGTTGTGAATGGACAAGTGGGGCCTGTAGGTTGGTGGTTCTCTGAAGGATGTTTGACTGTGACTCTGCATGTGTTTGTAACCTACCTGATGGTTTTGTGTCCTTGGCAACCTAAATATTTGAATGATTGAGGAACTCTATTATGACCATGGCTAGTTGGTTATGTAAGATTTGATTATCTGAATAGTAGCCATCAAGCCTGCCTCCAAAATTGTAACTAAGTAGCAATTTACCAAATAAAATAGTGGTAACAGTATGAGGGGAAGAGGTAATTTTCATAATTCCCAGATGCTAAGATTCATTACCTGGAAAAACCATATTAACTAAAACCAATATGTTGAAAAGAATAGCGTTCCATTAGGGACATGCAGGAAAAAAAATTAAGAAAACAAAACCAATTTTACCATAACTACCACTTTTGTTGTTGTTGTTGTTTGTTTGTTTTGAGACACAGTCTTGCTTTCACCCAGGCTGGAGTGCAGTGGCATCTCTGCTCAATGCAACCTCTGCCTCCAGAGTTCAAGCGATTCTCTTGCCTCAGCTTCCCAAGTAGCTGGGATTACAGGTGCCTGCCACCATGCCTGACTAATTTTTGTGTTTTTGGTAGAGATGGGGTTTCACCATATTGCCCAGGCTGGTCTCGAATTCCTGACTTCAAGTGATTCACCCCCCCTTGATCTCTCAAAGTGCTGGGATTACAGGTGTGAGCCACCATACCTGGCATACCTACTACTTTCAACACTTCTTTATGAGGGAGGTTTCCTACTCCCTCAGGCATGCTAAGCTAATAAAAAGTATTTGATACTTTTTAATAAGTCCTGTCTCATTGTAATAATTAAAATAGTTATTTTGTGGTCAGGACATCGTGGCTCACCCCTGTAATCCCATCCCTTTGGGAGGCTGAGGCGGGCAGATCACCTGAGGTCAGGAGTTCGAGACCAGCCTGACCAACATGGAGAAACCTTGTCTCTACTAAAAATACAAAATTAGCTGGGCATGGTGGTACATGCCTGTAATCCTAGCTACTTGAGAGGCTAAGGCAGGATAATCGCTTGAACCTGGGAGGCAGAGGTTTCAGTGAGCTGAGATCGCACCATTGCACTCCAGCCTGGGCAACAAGAGTGAGACTCTGTCTCAAAAAAAAAAAAAAAACAAAAAAACTTGTCAACTATACTATACCACTTCAGTGGTGTGATACAGGTGACTCAATAAGGAGATGAAGTAGATAAATTAAATAGAAAGGGCAGAAACCGTCAAGTATAAAGGGAATATACTATATATGATAAAGATGGCATTTCACATCAATTGAGGAAATGTGGATTATGCAATATGTGGTATTGCTAAACCACAAAACATAGGGGAAAAGTATCTTCACAAGGCGAAGACCCTTTAACAGTCATATGAAAAAGAAAAGTTCTTTTCAATCTAAAATAGATAAAGGGTTAATTTGTTACATTAAAAAAACAGAAGATAATATCAGCTAATTAGGAAATAAAAAGCCAAGAGAAAAACGAGCACACTCTAAGGAGATGCTGTTGCAGAAAAGAATGCCTTTAAACTTATTAAAAAGAAGCTTATTTTCAGCCTGCAATCCCAGCACATTGGGAAGCTGAGGCAGGCGGATCACTTGAGGTCAGGAGTTCCAGACCAGCCTGGCCAACATGGTGAAATCCCGTCTCTACTAAAATTACAAAAATTAGTCAGGCGTGGTGGCGGGCACCTGTAATCCCAGCTACTAGAGAGTCTGAGGCAGGAGAATCACTTGAACCTGGCGGGGGCAGAGGTTGCAATCAGCCAAGATTGTGCCACTGTACTCCAGCCTGGGCAACAGAGCCAGACTCTGTCTCAAAAAAAAAAAAAAAAAGATTATTCTCAACTGCAGTATAGACCAGATAGGCAAATATTTAAAAACTGTCAACTGTCTTTATCAGGGGTTGGGAAGATATTCTCATGCACTGCTATCAGTGCAAATTGGCAAAAAGTCCATAAAGAACCATTTGGAAATATACTGTAAACCTGTGTTTAATGGGAGATAGAAGGCAGAGCTGCAGAGGAAAAACATGATGTTTCCTGTCTTGAAGCTATAACAGGTTCCCCAGAAGCCTGTCTACCTTACCAAGAGACTAGGTTTCTGGTGTTTGTGAAGGAGCAGGATTTGTCCATTTTCCCACTAACCACCATCCTGGACATCTAAAGGGTACACAGGGTAGACAAGTCCTAAAATAGTGAACGTTCATGCAGATTTAACTGAGTTATTCTGGGAGTTCTAGGTCAAGTATGGTCTCAAATACTTTTATCCTCCATCTTTGCTTTCTCAGAACTGTTCCCTTTTCCAAAAGAAGAGCTCAAAAGAGAAGGTTCATCTCTTAGAAATCTCAAAGCCATGTCTCAGGTGAGATGATGTTTCCTCTTTCTGAAATAACTTTTTTTTTTTCATGGTATATGAACATGAGCTTCCCTATCCTTTAACCTTCCTGGATATTGGGATTTGCTTCCGTGAAACTAGTCTTCAGTCAGGGCCCAGATTAGGATGAGGCTGGCAAGTGGCATGAGGTGAAATACTTTAGGGATACTCTCAGGTCTGTGCCTTCCTAAATTTTCATTTCTAGGTGCCTTACCTGCCTCACCCTATTCCCAGCCCTGTTCAGAATTTCTCCATTCCGACCAGATCAACATAAGCCTTCCCCAAGTGCACCTTCTAATTGTACATTCATTGGGTGCGTCATTCATCATCTCGCTTCTCGGTCTTCTCACAAACAAACTGCTGGAACAGAAAGGTATTGTCTTGATTTAAATGGGAATATCTGGCTTGAATGAATTTAACTTGTCCTGATGCGGATTTGAGATCTAAGTTGTAAGTAGTCAAAAAGCAGACATGGAAAAAAAAAACCTTGATTTTTTCTGCTAACCTAAATTTTGCAATGATACGATGGGAAATAGAAGTGACAGATCTTAGCATTAGTTTGTGGAAAGATGCCCTGCTTTATGAGGTGTTTAGGATAGCAATTTGTGGGCAAGCATGTAAAGGAAACAGGTTTTGCGTTCCTTCTCTCTGATCTTCCTGTTTTATTAATGTCTGCCAGCCGTTCTTCCAAATTGTGGCCTGCCAGTGAAAACCTTTCCAGTATTCCAGTGCTGTTAGAGATTTGTTACTTTCTTTTTAGTCTCTTCTAATTTTATATGCGGGTGCAGGAGAAGGAAATGCATTCGGCAGGCCACACTTGGAAAACTCTCTTGTTGATCAAACAGTACTTTGTCTTTTTTTCCTATCTTTCAGAAAATTCCTCTTTAGCCGGGCATGGTGGCTCACGCCTGTAATCCCAGCACTTTGGGAGGCCGAGGCGGGCTGGATCACCTGAGGTCGGGAGTTCGAGAGCAGCCTGACCAATATGGAGAAACCCCGTCTCTACTAAAAATACAAAATTAGCCAGGCATGGTGGCACATGCCTATAATCCTAGCTACTTGGGAGGCTGAGGCAGGAGAATTGCTTGAACCCAGGAGGTGGAGGTTGCGGTGAGCCGAGATTGTGCCATCGCACTCCAGGCTGGGCAACAAGAGTGAAACTTCGTCTCAAAAAAAAAAAGAAAATTCCTCGTGACCTCATCTACCAACCTTTAAAGTACTGGCTTCCCCAAATGCTAATTGGTTCTCTTCTCTTCACAGTCTCTTTTTCTCTATGCACAATCAGATTCACTCTGAAGTCTACACTTAGTCTGATTCTAGTGACTCTCAAATACCCTTCTCCATTCTAGACCTCTGTACAGAGTGTCAGAACCATATATCCAACCTCCAATAGCTATCACCACCTGTATGTTCCACAGACACTTAAAGTACATTTCCAAGGTTTGCCTCATTACTTCCTTTGGTACAGCCTGCATTTTCTTCTGTTTCCCATTTTCACTTTATAGTCCCAGCAGCCATGCATTTGCCTATGCAAATAACATGCCTGTATCTTTTCCACTGTACAGCCAGTTTACGACCATCTCTGTTGTAATGGTGGTCGTGTAGGAGTCGTTATCGTCTGTCAGCCTGCTGATACTACCTAAATCTAGGAGTCATCTCTAACCATAGTTACTTAATTGTTATTCCCACCTAACATACATTAAGCCTTCCCCAGTCTTAGGGAACATTGCCTCAAAACTTTTATCACATAACATGTATGTCAACTTGTTTATTCATGTTCTTTATGTTCCTTAAAGCAACAGACTCAAAGTAGGGCATGCATCACAGTAGAATATACAAGATAGTATACTGGAAGGAAATAAAATACTAACAGTTTACATTCATTCAAGAGCAGTAATCATTAACAATGTAAATTTTCCTAAATGACTACTGATGGTTTGTAAATAGCTACAATGTTGGGAATATGTTCAGTACATCTTTAAGACCACTGCTCTGTAGGAAAAAAATCTAGTATCATGTCATAATATTCCCACTGCCTACTCCATATGTCTTTTCCTTCTTAGAACTCAAAGACTGTTTCCTAACATACTGTACCTTTTGCTATTTCCTGATTTACTAACTGGTTTTTTTCTCCCCATGAATTTTTAAAAGCTGATGCCCTGTATTCCTACAAAACAAATTCATTGTGAGTACAAAACTTTTATGTCCTCAATGAAGCCTCAGAATACAAAATGAAATTTTTCTTTGCTTTGTGATCCTTTACCTTGTACGTATTTCTGTCATTGCATCTATAAAACCTACTAAGTGCATGTATTTACATGTATGCCTCTCTCTTAGTCTGTAACTTCTCATGAGCAGGGTCAGGATTTTATTCATTTTGGTCTATCAGGCAACCAGTCACATTCAGGACAAATAGTGTGATCTCAGTATGTTTAGTATGAGATTATGAGTAAATACAGATGGATATATTTTCAGAGAGAATTTTATACAATATAAAACATAAATTAGGAAACTAGTCTGACCAGTAAACATTGTCAGAACTTAGGTCTCCAACATCTAGTTCTCACCCATTTCCGATCACTTCAGGATGAACTAGAGTATGCCCTTACAGGGATCAGTGTCATTCAAGGATGTGACTGTGGACTTCACCCAGGAGGAGTGGCAACAACTAGACCCTGCTCAGAAGGCCCTCTACAGGGATGTGATGTTGGAAAACTATTGCCACTTCATATCTGTGGGTAAGAAACACTCCTTGAATCTTTCAGTGTCATGCATCTCCTTCCATGAATTCCTGAAACATAGAACTATCAATTTCAGGGATTAGAGGTGATGAATCCATTTTTTTTTTTAGCAGAAAATATGATTATATCACTGGACTCAGTGGCTCACACTGTAAACCTAGCACTTTGGGAGGCCAAGGTGGGTGGATTACTTGAGGCCAGGAGTTTGAGACCAGCCTGGCCAACATGGTGAAACCCTGTCTCTGCTAAAAAGTACAAAAAATATCTGGGTGTGGTGGCACATGCCTGTAATCCCAGCTACTTAAGAGGCTGAAGCATGACAGTCACTTGAACCTGGGAGACAGAGGTTGCAGTGAGTCGAGACTGCACCACTGCACTCCAGCCTGGGTGACAGAGCGAGACTATCTCAAAAAAAAAAAAAAAAAAAAAAGGCCGGGCGCAGTGGCTCAC